AGGGCCTGGAGCAGAGCCGCCGGCGCGAGCTCGAGGGCGCCCTGCAGCTCCGGCACGCGCAGGAGTTCCAGAAGCTGGCGGCCGACCACCAGGCTCGCTTGGAGAAACTGGAAAGCGAAAGTCAGCAGAGAATTGAGCAGATGCAGGATTCCCACGCGGCGGTCATCCAGGAAAAAGAACAGCAGCTCCAGGAGTTGAAACTCAAGGTGTCAGATTTGTCGGACATGAGGTGTAAGCTGGAGGTTGAACTCGCGTTGAAGGAAGCAGAAACTGATGAAATAAAGATTTTGCTGGAAGAAAGCAGAGCCCAGCAGAAAGAGACCTTAAAGTCTCTCCTTGAACAGGAGACAGAAACTATGAGAACAGAGATCCAGCAACTAAACCAGAAGATTCAGGATAATAATGAAAGTTACCAGGTGGGGCTGGCGGAGCTGAGAACTTTAATGACAAGTGAGAAAGACGAGTGCATTTCCGAGCTGGTCAGCAGACACGAGGAGGAGTCCAGCGTGCTCAGGGCCGAGCTGAGCAGAGTGACGTCCTCGCATCAGCAGGCGTGTGAAGTAGAAAAGAGCCTGAAAGGAGAGCTGGCCGAGCTGCAGAGGAAGCTGGACTCAGACTTGCGTGCTCTTGAAAAAGAAAAAGATGAAAAAATCGCCCAGCAGGAAGAGAAGTACAAAGCTATTATCCAGAAGCTTGAGAAGGACAAAGAGAAACTTGTCATGAGCCAGGAGCAGGAGAGAGAACAGCTAATTCACAAGCTCACTTGTGAAAAAGCAGCAGCCGTTCAGACTGCCCTGGAAGGACTGAAGTTGGAAAGAGAAGCTGTTGAGAAAGAATTAATAGAAAAAGTTAAACACCTTGAGGGGCAAATAGCAAAAAGGTAAGAAATTAACCTCAGTCTGTAATCATCAAGTTGAAGTCGTGATTCAAGTTTTAATTGTGTGTGTAATCACATACCTTGATTTACTCATTTATCTTAGATGTAACAATTGAAATATTTTATAAAGTAAAAACTCTTTAGTGTTTCTTAATAAACATTTTAAAAATAACAAACAACATAACTCCATTAGTGTAGCTTTTAAAAATGGATTCGCATTTTGGATTTCCAGAGAAATATTTTTGAAAATCTCAAATGTTCTCAGGATCTTCTTTTGTCCTTTTTTAACTCATAAATTTCCTTTTAGTTTATTTTTAATTTTTTCCCCTAAATTGTTCGTTTGAAAATTATGTGTTTTCATTCTTTAAACCGTGTACGTAGATATAAAAGAAGTTTCCTCTGAGCAGTGTTTAGTAAAGGCTGAATTCTAGCTTAAGGCTCTGTAACTTCATGGTTGTTACGATTTTAGTTATTTCTTCTGGGTTCAAATGGTAATAGGTAATGTTAAATTCCAGGTTTGATACAGTAGTGGGTTTTTTGCATTTTTATTATTGTTACTGTCTCATGTTTCTGTCTTTGATCAGAGAAAAAAGTCTTCAGTATTTCTGCTCCATTAAAATTTATTGAGATTTTTATGGCCTAATAAACAATTTCTAGAACATGATCGATTGGTTCTAGTGTTAATTCTTCCAAGGGAATCTGTTTACAGGTATACAATGCATTATATGTGTTACCCTCCGGACCTCAGCTGCAGAGGTGTTCGGGAAACAGACCAGTGCGGGTGAGGTCCGAGCAGGGGAGCCACGGCGGGACGGCAGGCAGGGCAGGCTGGGCGCCCATTCTGACCCCACAGCCCTAGTCCCGCTGCCACCGACACCGGACTGCCAGTGCTGCGGTCCTGCCCGCGTGGCTTGGCTTCTGTCGCTCCTGTCACCGAGTACACCTTTCTCCCTCCGTATCATTCCAGCCGCCCTCTAGTGGCAGACTGGTGCTCGCTCACCTTGTACAGACGCGCTGTCTCTCTTGACGGTCGGCTAGGTAGATACGGAGCCCCAGGGCTACTGCCCTCATCACGACGGTATCACATGCCAGGGCACTGGGGCAGGGCGGGGAGACGTGCTTGTTACGCACAGGATTCGCCACTGCTCTTTATTTCTGTAACCAGCCTCGCAACTCGAGTTGCTGTTTACAGCTTCCATCACCCACTCCATCTTTTACCTCGGACAGTGTCTTAGCTTGTTTCTTCTTCTCGGCCTGAAACCACTGCCATTCATGGTACTTCCTCTACTACGGCTGCAGAGGTGTTTCTTTTGGCTCTTTGTTGCTGGATGTGGCAGTCCCCATGCTTCCATTCTGTGTCCTTGGTAACCCTGAGATCATGCAGCCTGTAGTTCCCACCCTGCAAATCCCCTCTCCTCTCGCCCAAAGGAGAGACTGTGAAAAGCATTACGTGTCATTTGAAGTTGAGTAAATGTACACTTAAAACCAGTCTGGGACTATTTACATGTTTTAAGATTTATTTAAAATAGTTTGGGAATATTTACATGGCACCCTTTCTCCTGAGGCTCGGCATGTTGTAACACTTTCGATGAGAGTAATGATCCACCTGGACAAGCTTTCAGATGTAAAGGATTGTTAGGTTGGAAGTAGATAAGATTAAAGTAAGTGTTACGTCGTGCCTGCTCTCCTTCCCTGGGCCTCTCCGCTCCTCTGCTGTTTTGTCAGTGCGTTCTCAGAGGAAGGAACGTGTCGCTTTCTGCTGGCAGACATTTAAGTTCGCTTTAGTTTTGTGTTATTTATTCATTAGCTAACAAAATGAACCAAAGCCTGCTTTAAAAATGAAAAGCCTTTCCCCAGGTGTGTTCTGCAGGCTGTTCCTTTTCTCACCTCTCGGCTGTGCTGCCCGCTGCATTACAGAGAAGGCAGGACTGAAGCTGACACTGAGCTTTTGAGAAGTGTGTTGACTTTTACACTGAAAGCATTACCTTTTGCTGGTAGAAGCTGATTATCCTGAGTTTATCAGACATGTCTGCTCAGCCGTGTCGGTGTCAGGGAGCGTGTCATCTGTTCTGAGCCTTGCCCCTCTGCTCGTTTCTCTTTTGGGGCCAGATATAAAGGGTTCACCTAGCACTGCTGTTGACCCCAAGTCACCGCTGTTGTGTATGAGGAAGACACTTAGCCTTGCTGATGTCATCTGTTGACGGTACTTGGTATGTTTGTGATTGCATAGGTCATTTTGGGAAAAAGTTTTAATACTGCATTTAATTTTTAAAGTCATGCCATTGAATCTGCCAGAGAAGATTCTTCAAGCCTAGTTGCTGAACTTCAAGAAAAACTCCAGGAAGAAAAAGCTAAGTTTCTAGAACAACTCGAAGAGCAGGAGAAAAGAAAGAATGAAGAAATGCAAAATGTTCGAACATCTTTGATCGCGGAACAGCAGGTATGCGTGTCCCCTGCCCTCGTTTCATTTATTTTAGGGCCAAAGGTGAACGTACATCAACAAATACAAGTTCCTTGTGTAGCTGTGGTTTCTTACGTCTTGGGTGTGCTCTCCCTGCACTGATCCTGAGACACGTATTGAATGTCTTCATGATAAAAGCGTTTGCTTGTTACTGGTCATTGTGTCACACAGGTACTTCACAGTGAAATAGTCCTAGATTAGAAATTAGGAAATGTGAATTGTGTTTCCGGTCTCAGCTGTCTGTGTGATCTTGGAAACATCATTTAACCTCTTCACAACCCAGATTAGTTTCTTGCAAATAAAGGTGTTTATATTTGTACTGCTACAGAGATGATATTTGGGTTTTTTCCTCTAAGCTAGAACTTCATTATATATTACATGCTGATAATTGTATTGATGTGATCGGCCGGCAGCAGGTTACGGTGGAATATGGTTGAACTTGGGTGATTCACTTAATTGGCGTTGATCAGCGGGAGCGGGAACGCTTGTGGGCTGAGCAGGGCCCAGACCCCGGGACTGGGATGGCCGTCAGGGGGCCTGTACACCAGCTACGGTCTGGACAGCAGTAGGGGAGCACTTCTGCGTGACAGAGGTGGCGGCGGGGCCGTGGAGAAGAGCGGGGGCTGTGGGCGGGCAGGCGTCGAGGCAGATGTCGGGACAGGCGCAGGGACACCGGCATCCTTTGTTTACCTTGCGGAGGCCGCTCCTGAAGCCGGTGGATGCGGCGGCGTTGACGCACAGGTGTGATACCGTGTGGTACAGCTTCACTCTTCTCAGTGTCCTTTTCGAGTTCAAAAAACGTCAACCAGAGAACAAGTGTGGGTCAGAACCCTTACTTACGAAGTTTAAATTTCAGGGCCCAGGGACAGACAGAAGGGCTGAAAAGGAGGCATTAGGACGGGAAGTCGGAAAAAGGAAGGGTGTGTGTAGCGGAAACCAGGGAAGTAACTGCCAGGGTGGGAGCAGCCACCAGCTTTCAGTGAGATCGTCAGTGAGCAGGTCACTCACAGCGTCTCTGTTTCTGAAACTGAGCTTGTCAGTTCTTCAGCGGATTCATCCTGCCTGAGACAGGTCTGTCTCCTTCCAGCCGCCTTTCTCTCCGCGGGCTCCTCTGGGAGCACGTTTGCGGGCGCAGGCCTCCAGGATCCAGTGGGGTGAAGTGGCAGATGGAAACCATCTCTTCAACTTTAGTTCTTCCTCCAGTACTTGTAAAGTGAGAGGAGAGGTGACTCCTGAGACCCCTTCCGATTTTCCGTAGTGTTTGGATGTTAAGTAGTGGTTGCTAAGTTGATTTAGAACTAGTTTTGTAGGGATGCCTTGGGCCTAGCTGGCTCTGACCTTAACCTTGTTTCTAACATGTGTATTACAATTGTGGTAAGTTTTCTGAAAATCCGCTTCGTATTACAGAAGCAGCAAAGACTATGAAGACAAAGCAGCTAATGTACTGTTAGGACTATTCTGTTTGTTTTCTGCATGTGAGCAATGCGCAGAGGAGTGGCTTACTGCACAGGCGCACCATAAATGCTCTTTCTGAGGGATCGTCCTGTCTGCCTTCTGGCTGGAAGTCGGTTTAACCCAGTATTTGATGAATTCACTAAATTTGGTCCAAGAATGGCACATTCTTGTTAAGTCTCCCTTTTCTAGCATTATTGGCATTATTCATTGATGAGAGGATCTGTGACTGTTAATTTTGGAAGCTGGCTCATGAGGTCTCTGCGGGCAGTTGGATGTGTGAGCTTGGCCGTGAGAAGGCGTTGGTGGACTCGAGGATGGCGCGTCGGCGGTGCAGGGCAGCGCGCTGCCCCAGGAGCCACAGGGAGGACTCAGGGCAGGGAGGCTCCTGAAGGAAAGAAGCACGTGTACAGCGGCGCTGGTTAATTGTTGGCTGGTTTTTTTTTTTTTTTCTTTCTCCAAAATTTAAAAATTATTTGCTAATACTTTTCCTCTAAACATGTGGACAATAACGTGAAAATAGAATTCATTTTCAAGATACTAAGTTGGAACACACCTTAATACAGAGCTAATAAAATGCAGCCACAGGGCCTTCAGCACAGCGTAGCATTTTAACTGAACAGTTCCCATCGCTTGTGAGTGGCGCGCGCTCCTCCCCGCGTGCAAGTGCGCCCGCGGCCGGAGGGGCGGGTGTCCGCTCTTTGCTCCGGCTGCCCCGTGCGTGCCGCCCGTTTACGAGGTTGTCACTCTGTTGTCCCAGACCAATTTTAACACTGTTCTGACGAGGGAGAAGCTGAGGAAGGAGAACATCATCAACGAGCTGAGCGATAAGCTGAAGAGCGCGACGCGGCAGCAGGAGCGGG